AGATGTAGTTCAGGGCTTCACAGCCGTCATAAACTCTCCGATGGAGATGCCATTCAGGGCTTTATAGCCCATCATAAACTCTCTGCCGGAGATGTCATTCAAGCCTTCATAGCTCATCATAAACTCTCTGACGCAGATTTAGTTCAGGGCTTCACAGCCCATCATAAGCTCTCCCACAGCGATGTAGTTGTAGGGATTTAATGCAAATGGTGGTTTTGTCTTCCCAGCCTCTAACTCCAGCCAATCAATTGAGCTGAAAAAGGATGTTCACAAGCTGTAGGCGTGCTCCTAATTGGCTTTCCTTTTTTCACTTGTGCAAGAGAATGTTTGGAAGAACATTTGGTCCATTGCTTGCATTAGTGGATTCAGGGCTTTAAAACATGTCATAAACTCTCCCATGGTACTGTGATTCAGGGCTTCACGGCCCATCATAAACTCTCCCACGGTGCTGTCATTCAGGGCTTCACGGCCCATAATAAACTCTCAGATGGAGATGTAGTTCAGGGCTTCACAGCCCATCATGAACTCTCCCATGGAGATGTAGTTCAGAGCTTCCTAGCCCATCATAAACTCTCCCATGGAGATGTAGTTGTAGGGATTTAATGCAAATGGTGGTTTTGTCTTCCCAGCCTCTAACTCCAACCAATCAATTGAGCTTAAGAAAATATGTTCATGAATGTTTTCCAACAGCTGTAGGCGCCACGCTCCTAACTGGCTTTCCTTCTTTTATTTGTGCAAGAAAATGTTTGGAAGTACATTTGGTTCATTGCTGCATTGGAGACTTCAGGGCCTCAGAGCCCGTCATTATCTCTCCCACAGAGATGTAATCCAATGCAAATGGTGGTTGTGTCTTCCTGGCCAATTGATAGATCCAAAGAGCATTTTGTTTTGCTTGTTTTGGAGGAATCAGAGCTTCAGAGCCCATCATAAATCCACCCATGTAGGGGGCTCCCGCTTATTGCCATGAGGATTGAGGTCTTCTAGTAGTTGGGTGGATTCACTGTACAGAATACAGCTAGTCTTCCATTAATGTACTCAATGGCAATGATTGGCTTTCTGTACCAGATTTGGTCAGGGGCATAGACTCTCTTATCATTCCATCTATCATTCCATCATATGGAAGTTGAAATTCGAACTGTAATTGAGAGGAGAGAAATTTTGTGTTTCTTAAAGGAAATGTTCTTAATCAACGAGAAAATCAAAATCAAATTAAGGAAAAAAAGACTAACAGATGTAAGATACTTACCAGAACATTCTCTTCCTCACGCTCTAAGCCCTCCGGCGAAGCTTGGGTTCCTCTGTGTCATGGTCCACCTCACACATCCATGCCCACAGCGACTAGCTAACCGAGGCACGCACGGGCGGCCGTGACTTGGGGTAAGAGGGAATAAGGGGGACCTAATCTGAAAATATATACGTATATAAGACCGGCTGTGATATACTTTCACAGCCTGCGCTACCTCTGGCCACCACTAGAGGGAGAATCCACTCCAATCCAGCTGGCTGGCTGACCACACACACAGGTAGACACAAATCTTACATACAATCTGGTGCACTAATTAGGGTTGAGGAGCAACCTAGCGATCGACACACCTTTCTAGGATTTCTCCAGCTATCCTACAAGCCAGAACCCTGGTGTTAATCACTCTTCCACTGTCCACAAACCCCGACACCAGACATACCACAAACAGTAGCTTGCCACCTACCAACAGTTTATCCGCAGAACAGTCTGCTGGGACACCACACACACACAGATCTCTGTCTGGCAGACCTGTCACCCTTACAATCTGCACGCAATCTGCCAACACGCAGTGCAATTGCATACAGATTGGCAATGAACTTGACCGAGCATATAAAGGCACTAAAATACAATACAATCTAATCTCTCCGGAGATATGAGCCTGAGCTTAAGTACCCCAGAAGTCACTTATTAATTTTAAGATTTAATATCCTGAAAGTGGGCAGTGCATAAAATATGTACAAAGTATAAAAAGTTACAGAACATACAAAAAATACAAGAAGACACACAATTGACTATTCACTATAAAAAGGGAATAAAAAACTGAAATAAAACTTTTACCAAGATTTATCCTGCGACTGGAGCAAGTCAGAGAGAGTCCGTGCTCCGTCAGTCAATAGGACGGGTTCCATACGAATCACAAAGTCCATACCTCAAGTCCTCAATTTATGGGAATATGGATGTGGGCTGGACATTAGTCCTTGGCCAATCAACCCTGGGGGGGTGTTCCCGTACCAGCCCACAGGACGTTCTGGGTGCTGAAATGCCCAAAGTTGATTGGACTAGAAACGGTTTGAATCACCAAGTCAGGGATTAAATTTCCGACACCAGCGCATCAGTCCGATCGCGACAGTACCAATCACTGTTCAGCTGTCACAATCCGGTGCCACATAACCAATTCCTGCATTTTGCTGGCATTCTACATAGGCCACAAATACGGTTTTTACATGCAGATGTAGCTCAAAGAGTGCCCAATCAGAAGGAAGTATTTTCATCTCTCTGCAACTAATATTTTAGCTTTTATGAGGGATGAAATCTATTCCTTTGATCTGTGTATATATTTTAAAGCTCCCCAGAGAGATCGGAGCCCCCCTGGTCTCCTAAAGCCGAAATGTCTGGCGCTCCTCTTTTAAACTTCAGGAAGGTGACAAAGGAGAGAGAAAGACAGAGAGAGAGATCAATCTTATTGGCACTTAGAGCAGCTTCTAGGCTGGACGTGACACCCTGTCTTTTCAGATGCTAATAGGTGACCACATGTCTCTGAATACTTAAGACTGAATATTTCTTTAATGACAAGGAATGAAACTAAATTTACAATTACATATTGCTACAGATCACATCTCAATCCAATCACTTGAATCCCACATCTACGTTACACTCTGATATAAGGATGATCTGGGAATCCGAGAAAATTTGGCTCTTCGTTTACAAAGCCAATGAGGAATGTTTGCTGTCTGGTCAAGAACTCGGAAGGGGCCTATGGTTATCGTTCCATAATTGAGTACAGGAAACTGTTTCTGTATGAAAGGAGAGAGATGACATTTATCAAGGGCTTACCAAATGAAATGTTCTGAATTAAAAAAAATAAGCTCCAAATGATTTCTCCTGGTAACAAAACAATCACCTTTACTTGGCAATAGTAAAAGTGGGAGAAAAGACTGAGAGATGTAAGACACTTACCTTAACTATGGAATCCACAGTTGCCCGGCATAGTGGACAGGTTTGTACTTCCAGCAACCATCTGTTGAAGCAGCTGCTGTGAAATAGGTGGGAGAAGTACAGTCTGGTGGTTTGCGCTTCCCCTTCCAATTTCTGTAAGCAGATTCTGCATTCAGGTTGCTCATCCTGTTGGTCACCAAGAGTGGGGACCCTGGATGTTCTGTGGCTCTGAGTGGTTGCGTTCCACCGGAGAACGACTTTTGTCCCTCCGGGTGTCGTCAGGGTTCCGATGATTCCTCCTCGTTCTTTTGGAATCTCTCTGCCTCGCAGTGGAGCTCTAGAACGTATTCTAGAAGTTATGAGGGAGTATTGGCCTCCAATAGCAATGCTAATGTGTGAGTTGCTTCCCTACCGATGAATGTTAAAGATTTTTTTTTTTATTTTAATTTCTATTTTTTTTTCTTAAAGTGGTTGTAAAGGCTCAAGGTTTTTTAACTGCATGTATTCTATTCATAAAGGTAAAAACCTTCTGTGTACAGCAGCCCCTTCAGCCCCCCATCATGATCCAGAAATGTGCACAAGAGCCTTGGCTCTCCGGGGATTCTCCCTCCTTGTTGGCTGAGGCAGCAGCAAGAGCCAATAGCTCCCACTGCTGTCAATCACAGCCAGTGAGCCAATGAGGAAAAAGAGGGGGCAGGGCCAAACCACCGACTCTGTGTGTGAATGGACATCCCCATTTCTGTACAGACATCCAATACTACCAGGATGTCGAAACAGAATACTGGCCGTATGTGCTCTGCCATATGATAGGGAGGATGGCCCATCTACAACAGGTAAGGTCCTCCTGGCTTTACAATACTTGTGTTTCGCAAGTTTTTATATTTGATGAACCCCCATAATAAAAATAAGGATTCCCATCAAATATAGTGTGTATAGGAAATTTGTATTTCTAACACAAGTGGCCAGAGAATGATTAACCACTTGCTCTCCAGAAGATTCCCCCCCTTCCTGGCCAGGCCATTTTCTGCATTACGTTGCTGCGTTACTATAACTGACAATTGCGCGGTCATGCAACGCTGCACACAAATGACATTTACGTCCTTTTTTCCCCCACAAATTGAGCTTTCTTTCAGTGGTATTTGATCACCTGTGTGTGCTTTACACTGTAAGCACACTGCTTTGTATGGCTGTGCTATGCAGAGCCATACAAAGCAGTGCGCATGAGCTGACGGGAGAGATCTGTATTGTTTACATACAGACCTCTCCCCTGTCGGTGATACTCAGAGATTGCCAGACGCTGGTAGGGAATCACCAGCTGGGACCTGGTCATCGACAGCTGAAGGTGCCAACGGCGGCGCCGGTAGGGCGCTTGCACGCCCCCTACATAGAGATACACAATCACGTATATATACGTGATTTTGTGCAGCCCGGCCGTCCTGTAGGAGTACTTCTGCTATAGGACGGTCAGGAAGCGTTTAAATAATTTTTGTGTATTTATAACTGAATTTTGTTACTCAACTTTTATTAAAAATAAACGTCCGCCATACTGACCCTACTGACCATACTGTGCCAGTAGGTGGCGATGTGCACAATGTCACGTAGCACTCCTGGGCAGCTGTTAGTTGGAGCTGTGCACAATGTCAAGTACCGCTCTAGACGTGCCAGAGATGGCGCTGTTGTGGAGCACAGCTCTTTTATTTCTCCCCGGTCAATCGTTCCGGCGTTTCTATGGTCGCCCTGCGTTGTGATTGGCTGCTCTGGTCATGTGAGCGGTGTTTGCGGAAGTTGCTTTGCATGTGTGTGCCTGCTGGGGAGGAGTGACATGGCTCAGTACGTTCAACCTTACAGAAGCTCGCCGGAGGATCGGCCCCGTCCACGGAATGTGTCCCGGGAGGAGGCCATGAAGCTGGACGGATACAGACATGCCTGCCATGTCATGCTGTATGCGCCGACCAGCGCCAAACTCTTCGACCGTGTTCCCATCAGATACATTGTGCTGGTGAGCGGAGGGGGATGGGGGGAGCTAAAGAAGACCTATCCCCTGAGAGCCTGGCAATGGGTTCTATATGAGGAGACCCCTTCCCACCTGTTGTCACCCTATAAAGCTCCCCCTCCGGTGCTGTGCTCTGCGTTCTCCCTCGTCGTTCCTTTTTCTGACATTTTTAAACACCCCCACCATCATCTTCCGGGTTCGGGGTCTTCAGCTGTCTGGATTGGCCAGGCTGAGACAACGCATTTCTGCCCTCTGTATGCTGAGCTGCACACGTGTGACTCTCAGGCCTCGGTCACACCCAGCGTGGTAGCAGCGCATGTTTTTGTGAACAATGCGTTCATTCATACGTGCGACAAATGCGCCAAAGAAGCTGCAGGCGTTAAGCTTCGTTTTTTTTTTTTTATGAGCCTTTTGGCACATTTGATGCTGTTTTTCCTGCCCAAAAGATCGCACATCTGTTGCCTGTATTAATTAATTTCTAATGGCACAGCAAGTATTACAAGCGGTTTATGCATGTTCCAGGAAAATGCATTTCTGTGTGCATTCCTGGAATGTGCAGCTACGCATGGGGGGGAGAGAGAGATTTCCCTTCCTGTCCTATAGCCACAAAAGGAAGTGAGAGGAAAATCCTCCAAAGTAAGGGGATCCCAGGGTGTCACCAGAACTAGTGTCCCCATTGGAAGACTCCCCCTTCCTGTTCTGGTGACAACCCCAAATTTGTGATTTTCTTTTTTGTTCCTGATATGTGCCGGTGTCTATGGGGCCTCAGTGTACATTTCATGAAAAAAATAAGAAAAAACAAACAAATGTAGAAGTAAAATCAAAATGTTTTTTTTTTACCATTGTTGGCAGAGTAAGAGAGTGTTAGAACCCCTGTCAGTTTTTTTGTTTTTGCCATCTGTGTCCCGTAGGGGAGATTTCCCTTCACTTCATGTCCCATAGCCAAATCAGGAAGTGAGAGGAAATCCCTCCAAAGTGAGGGAATCCCAGGGAGTCACCAGCACTAATGTCCCCATTGGAAGATTTCCCTCTATTCCTTTTTTGGTGCCAGCCAAAATTTGGGATTTTCTTTCCTGTTCCCGGTATGTGCAGGTATCTATGGGACCTCAGTGTGCAGTTCATTAAAAAAAAAAAATGTAGAAGTCAAAATGTTTTTTTTTTTTTCTTCAATGTTGATAGAGTAAGTACTGTATCTCCCTTGAGGGTTAGAACCCCTGTAAGTATTTTTTGCCACCAGTGTCCCATAGGGGAGATTTCCATTCGCTTCCTGTCCCATAACCAAAACAGGAAGTGAGAGGAAATCCCTGAATTCCAGGGTGTCACGAGCACTAATGTCCCCACTGGAAGATTCCCATCTATTCCTGTTCTGGTGGCAACCTAAAATTTTGGATTTTCTTTCCTTTTTCCAGTATGTGCGGGTGTGCGCGGGTCCTCCGTGTGCAGCTCATTAAAATACACGTTAAAGTAGAACTATAGGCAAAACTGTTTCATTTAATTGTTGAATCAGTAATGAAGGGTTATAACCCTTGTCAGTTTTTTGCCATCTGTGTCTCATTGGGGAGATTTCCCTTTATTTCCTGTCCCATAGCCACAACAGGAAGTAAGAGGAAAGCCCTGCAAAGTGATGAAATCCTGACTTGTCACAAAAACTAATGTCCCCATTGGAAGATCTGCCCTCTATTCCTGTACTGGTGACAACCCAAAATTTTGGATTTTCTGTTACGTTCACTTTCAATGACCCTAAGCAGGACAAATAGAGAGAAAACAGACAGAAATAAAAACCTAACATGGGTTCTAATCCCTCTCCACTCCAAAACTAATAAAAAAGCTTTTTACTTTTAGTTCTACTTTAAATCTGCTCCCACCCCCTTATTTACCTGCCTTGTAGAAGGAAGATGCTTATACTTGCCTATTCTCAGGGGGGTTCCTGTCACGTGATCAGGTCACAGTGCTGACTTCAGTCTAGAAGAGGGACTGCTGAAAACAGATGGGAAGCCTATGAGTGACATCATCACACTGAAATTCTAGCCGTTGTCAGCGATCTCTTCTCCCCAGTGACCCCTGAAGATGGTCACTGGGGAGGTCCTGTGAGCAGACTGGAGTGCCCTGAGAATAGGTAAGTATATGCATCCTCCTTCTACAGGGTGGTGAGTATAGGAGTTAGAAGTGGCAGCAGAGTTAAGCTTAGATAGATTTAGTTTGAACTTCCACATTAATTGCAGTGCAGATAGTTGGACGAATGTCAAAAGCATCCACCCAGCCATAACGAATTCTGAACCTATTCTGTGTAAGCCATTCCCACTCAGCCCCGTGTCTCTTTAAAGTGGAATTTTGGTCCGCTTCTTTATGTGGCTATGCCCCCCTGGTCATGGCACATGCGCAGATGGGTCCTGACAGAGTCCCTGAGCGTATTGGCGCACATGCCGTGAAAATGCTGCGCAGGCACAAAACACGGGAGGTTTTTAGCTGCCCTATCAGCAGTCTTCGCAGATGCACAACAAAATCTGTTCATGCACAGATACCGGGCAGCCTGGCCCATGCACAGTCGTGCTGCAGGGCTCTCTCTGGATCTGAGCCCTACCATACGTTTGCGCATGTACTTGGGGCAGCTGTTGATCACAGGAATTCAGCATATTAGGCAAAATACAGTCAGAATTCATAACTGGGGAATGCATGTAACCTTCATCCAACTATTTTTGTTTTTTTATATAAAAAGCCCTCTTAGAGTCTTCTAGACTATCAATATTTACCTGCTAGCAGTTTTGTTTTTTTAACCACTTGCCTACAGGGCACTTATACCCCCTTCCTGCCCAGGCCAATTTCCAACTTTCAGCGTTGTCGCACTTTGATTGAAAATTGAGCAGTCATACAACATTGTACCCATATGAAATTTTTATCATTTTTTTGTGACAGATAGAGCTTTTTTTTTGGTGGTATTTAATCACTTTTGGGTTTTTATTTTTTCTTAAACAAACCAAAAACCACTGAAAATTGTGAAAAAAAAATGTTTTTTCTTAGTTTTTGTTATAAAATTTTGTAAGTAAGTGATTTTTCTCCTGCACTGATATGAGCTAATGAGGCTGCAGTGGTGGACACTGATAGGCTGCACTGATGGACACTGGTAGGCGGCATTGACTGGCACTGATGGGTGACACTGAAAGGCAGCTCAGATGGGCACTGATAATGTGGCATTGATGTGCACTGGTAGGCACTGATAATGTGTGGCACTGATGGGCACTGGTACGAGGCACTGATGAGCACTGACATGAGGCACTGATGGACACTGACAGGTGGCACTGCTGGGGCTACACTGATCATCAGGGCACACTGATCATCAGTGCCCTGATGATCAGTGTACATGTCCCCTCCCCGGAAAGCCGATTACCGACTCTCGAGCTGTCAGCGTGACAGCTCGAGAGGAGAGAAATGCCAATAACCGGCATTTCCCTGTTTACATGTGATCAGTTGTGATTGGACACAGCTGATCAAATGACCGAGCCGACATCTTTGGCTCTTTCCGTGATCGGTGATCCGCTGTGTCCGAGGGACCCAGCGCACTGCCGATCGCCGCACTGCACTTTCCCAGGGCCGCGCATGCGTGGTGAGAATGGGAGGACGTCATATGATGTCCTCCCAGAACGAGAGAACCACCTTGCTCCCGTAATTGGACTGTATGGTTGGCGGGAGGTGGTTAAAGTTCTGCTTTATGGAAGAATTATCACTACTAGTTAAAAATTATTTTTTTAACCCCTTCCCCATCCTTTCCTAGAGGACCAATTGCACTTTTCAAGCAGAAGAATACTGCCATTTATTACAAAGATAAAGACCAGATCGGCTTTGTTTGGCTCCGTTAAATAGTAAGCAGAAGCGATGACCTGACATCACATCCAGTTTACTTGGAAACAATTAGCACCATTTTTAAAAAGACAAAAGTATTCAATCACACTGATATTGGTGCGATTGAATGCTTTGAATCGCAGAGGAGGGATTTTTGGTCTTGTTGACCACAGATTCCTCCATAAAGTGTACCTGTCTTATGCATATTACTGTTACAAGCAATGTGTACTTTCTTTGTGAAAGAAATACAAGTAATCAAAAACAGGAAAACATTTTTTTTTTTTTTTTTAAATGACAGTTTAAAAAAGAGAAAAAAAAGAATTAAAGTGCCCCTGTGTCCCCCATGCTTGCATGCAAAAGGTGTACGCACGTGTCGGTCCCGCTCACACGCAATCAGCAATTGTCCCACATGTGAGGTATCACCATGAATGTCTGATCATGGGCAGTAATTTTAGCACCAGGCCTCCTCTGTAAATCTAAAGTGGTAACCTGTAAATGCTTTTAAAGCCTCGCCTATGGCTAGTAAAATTGATGTTGTTTATCATTGTTTATTTTGAAGAGTGACATGTTTGGTATCTCTTTGCTCATCGCAACATCATCATTTATATTTTACAAAAGATTGGCTTATGTATTGTGTATTTTTTCCCAGAACATTGCATGTAAAATATCATGTGACATAAAAAATTGCAAAATCCATCAATTTATTCTCTAGGGCCTCTGCTTTAAAAATATATAATGTTTGGGGGTTCTAAGTAATTTTCTAGCAAAAAAGAGAGGTGGTCTTAGACTGGAGCATTATTTCATGTGTTCCTTCATATTAAAAAAGTAGAGAAAGGTTGGTCCACAGTCACCGTCCACAGCAACAGTTAGCAGTACAATCTGAGCTAAACCACTGTGATTTAATCCTTTAGTGGGTTGACTTTCTGTTTTTTTATATTTTCTCTGTCTCAGATGATGATGAGGTTTGATGGTCGCCTTGGTTTTCCGGGAGGATTTGTAGATCTAAGAGATACTTCTCTGGAAGACGGCCTGAATCGGGAATTGGTAGAGGAACTGGGCCCCTCTTTTAACACGCTAAAGGTGACTGAACAGGATTTTAGGAGTTCTCAGGTCCGAGAGATGCCACAGAAGGCCATCACACATTTCTATGCCAAAGAACTTAAAGTGGAACAGATGGAAGCCATTGAAAAAGAGGCTGCCCTTGCAAAAGACCATGGATTAGAGGTGTGTGGAATGTATGGAGTGTTGACTTTTTTTTTACAGCTCAAGTTATACATTTTAATTTGTTAGAGGTTTGGAGAGATGAGCAGTACTTTAATTTTTGAATGATGATGCGCTTTAAAAAATTTCCATAGTACTCTTATCATGGTGACTTCATATACAGAGTTGACTATGTGCGTTCAGTAGGACAAAAGTTTAATTAAAATCAGTCTTTCACACATGCAGTTTGCTCTTCCTCTTCTGTCGCAGCATCATTGAGCTCAACTCCTGCAGTGAGGAGGGGGTCACTGCATGCGCGGGTTCCAGTGATGATGGGAGTGTGGCTAAACATATGGGACATCCCAGAACACAGGGTGGATGGTGTAGATGACTCTTAACGCTGGTTTTCAGCCAAGCTGTGGGTAAACTCCAAATTTTAAAGCTACAAGATGTTTTTAAAAGTAAAGAGGCCTAGTTCATTTTATAGTTCATTTTGCATATGCATAGTTCATTTTATTACAAAGGTGAACTTTGGCCTTTAATGGCTGGTATGCACACATACTTATCTGCAAATAAGTGATATTACATCCTTGCATAAACTATGCTAGCCATACATTTGTACTGTAGATTTCTATCATTCAGCCCCACAGGCTAAACCTGACAAATTACTTGATTCCCCCGTCCACATTAAAGAGAATGGGTGGAGATATCACCACTGCCAGCTTTTGTATTCTGCCGGCCACTACACCTGCAATCATGTGAATACCTGATTAGTAACTGCATCTGATTAGTTGCAATCACTGTTAATGATTTTTAATCTGAAGTTTGTTGAGCTGGGGGTGGTACGGACACGGATTCCTGGCTTTGGCAGGATTCAGCTCACATTCGAGATATGTGTGGTTAGCTTTAAGGTGGAACTAAACTCACCTGGGCTCCAGCGATGTGGTGTCCCGGGGGTCCCTGTCAGCTGCTGACATCTTTGAGAGGCTGGCTTCTGGATCTCTGTCACTGCCTGCTTTCATTGGCTGGGTGGGGATAATGTTGCTCCAGTGTATGCACAGGAGTGCAGTCAGCTTTGGCATTGCCAAATTTCTACAGGGAACTGACAGGTAGGTAAAAAACATTATACAGAAGAGACAAAGCATCTCACTTCCACATTAAAAATCCTACCTGTTCCCCTGTTTTTTTAATTTGTTTTCTGGCCTTATATGGTTCAAAATTCAACCAGTTCAGCAGGGAGTAGCCACATTTTTAACCACGTGTAAAATTTTATTAGATCAGTCGGCTGCAGCTGCTGATTGGATATTCTACAGTGGAGGCGCCCTTCTGTCAGAATACAAAGATTCTTTCATCCACCTCGCTTGTATGGATGGAGGAATCTGTTTATTTTTTCCCAGCCAGTTTAAGGTCCACCCATTGATGCTTTACACTGCTCTGGTATAGTTACTGATTGACCACATTTAATGGCTGTGAAGCTCAAGCATTCTCCATACATGTAACGTGTATAGCCATTGCTGTATATAGTAATGCCTGCCATGTACCAGGCTTTACAGAAAACCGTAAAACTCTGTAAGCATAAACACTGCCCAACCTTTGGAATGGTTGCAGGGATGTACCTGGCTTTTATATTGAGTGGCTTGGTTTAAGTCTAAGGCCCTATGCACAGTGGGCATTTAGCCTCAGTGCACAGGGCTCTGGTGTTTAGTTGAGGGCACAGGTGCCTTTTCCAGCACCTCTGCCAGCAGCCTGTCAAGATTTGAGAGGCTGAAGGCTGCTGCGGCTGGGTGTAGCTGGATGGTGCACCTAGTGTTACAAACATTTAGGGCAGTATTCATCCGCAGACAAATGCCCAGTACTGTTACATTTTAATATATAAGCTGATAATGCTCAAAGCTTGCTAAATGCTCTTCTGATTGTTGCACGTTAGCTGAGATTAAAGGATAAGTTCGCCTTTTGCAAAAAATAATAAATGCACATCTTTTTGCAGGTAAAAAAATGTGTACATTTATTATTGTTTACATTGCAGGCTATAAGGCATTACACCTGTGATCAGCTGATCGTGGATGCAATGCCAGGACCTGCAGACTCTGTCAACTGTCAGCCCATACCTCATATGGGCAGGCAGATACTGAATGGCAGGAAGAACCGATGGCACTCACCAGCTCCCTTGCAGGTTGTTGTGGACCACAAGCCATTGGCCATGGAGACTGACAGTAGATGTAGTTCGTTCATTCATATGAATCAATGACATAGCTGTGTGGGCGGAGCCCCACACAGCTGCGCTGTTGTTAAATCATGAGAGCGAGCACAGGGAAAGTATCCGCGACCCCTGTCACAGGGAGGGGGATCTCAGGTAGGGGCTGCTGTTACTGGAACATGTTACACCCTAAATAAGGGTGTAACATGTTCAAAAAGGTGAGCTTTATCCTTTAATCACATGCCAATAGCACATATGAAAATGTTCTGGATTGAAGTGGTTAAAACCACTTGGCAGCTGCAGCCATGAGCTTGGTATCATTTGTTACAGCCGGCAATCAGCTGTTCAGTAAAAGTCATCTGGGTGGCTCTACAGCCATCTATTTCACTGTAATGAGAAGGGTATTATATTGTGTCTGTTTGCACTTTATTTTAGTGTATTTTGTCCTGAAAATCTGTGTTCGATAAACAGCTGTGTAAATATCGTGCAACATAAAAAAGTGTAAATGCCACAACTTTATGCTCCAGTGCCTCTAATTTCATAAAATATAATATTTGGGGGTTTTAGGTAATTTTTTAACCAAAAACACTTGTACATGCGTGGTATGGTCCCTAATAACCCAGTTTTAAGTTTTTTCTTTTTCTTTTTGTCTTTAGGTTATGGGATTAGTCAGAGTTCCCCTTTATACGTTACGTGATGGTTTTGGAGGTCTTCCGGCCTTTCTTTCAAACAACTTTATTGGTAACTCCAAAAGCCAACTCCTATATGGGCTGCGCTCCCTCCGCCTACTACGCGAGGACCAGATCCAAGATGCAATATGGTGTAGTCAGAACATTCAGTATTGATTCTGACGGATGGGTAGGGAGATACAGATAAGATATCCTTGTGGTATGTTATGGATATACAAAAATCATAGATATAAAAATGGTTTCTGAATGTATCAGTGTCTCTATGCCCAATTATGTTCTGATTGTTCAAAACACTTAAAAGCTGACTTCAGCTAAAACTGATATTTTGTTTAGGTTGATTAATTAAAAGGATACTGTAACCTCCTGGAGATACCTTGAGAATATTGTCCAACCTAACCTGAGGTTCTGTAGGCAGTGCAGTGGTATCATACTTTCCATTACTTGGGTTTTCCATTCTTTCCTGTGGAGCTTGCAGTGTGGGGAGTATGACGCCATCATTCTGCCTAAAACCAGTATTAAGGAAAGCAGAATGACGGTTGACTTGGACTCTAATAGACCTTTATCTGTATTTCCAGGATTGATTTGTATTTCTTAATTTCGGACATAGTGGGGTTCTTCAGCCATTTAGGGCTTCTTTAGAGAATTTTCACTTCCTGTCTTAGTGACAATGGTTTCCCAGATAAGAACTAAGAAAGAGTTTGCAACAAGTCACAGGCTGAAATAAAATGCTGAGTGTGCTTGTAGACATCCCTGCCCTGCTATAAATATCTTTTGTGTTGCTGCTCTAGATTTTCTCTCATCTCCTAGCTGGTGTAACCATTGTCACCCTGACAGGAAGTAAAGTGAAGGGGAATCTCTCTTATGGAGCTCCAGATAGCATTAAAAACCCGACGGAGACTCTACTAAAAAATAAAAAAGTGTTGGCTGGGCATACTCTTTAAATGAAGCTTTATGTATTATGACTTAATGAAGAATTCAACTGTGCAAGTGCTTGAATACATACTGCACTCAATATAAATGCAGAAATGCTCCTTTTTTTTTTCTTTTTTTTTTTTCTGTGTGATTGTGAGCTTTAATGATTTGGGTTCAGGGGGGACTGCACAATGAATACAGTTTACTGTTGGTGTCAAGGATATTTTACACAGTGTTAGCTCCATTATTTGAAAGATTAGTTTGCTTTCACACCACATTTTCCAAGAAAAAAAAATACCTGTGTGTTTCAGCTTCTCAAGTATAATAAAATGTAGCCCTCTGATTTTAAAGTAGATGCATCATTTCCAAGGCATACCAATAGGCCATGCAATGGCCTCCCTCTAGCCTACAAAACTTCTAAAGTGGGCAGGTTCCCACCCCTCACCCCCGCTGGCCATTGGATTCTTGGCCCCACCAATGCAGAAACTCCAGCCTGTCCAAAACCTGCGCTGTGCACTCTTTCCCCCTGTTGAACAATACTGCACCTAGGCGCTGCTGCAGCAGGAGGGAGAGTGTACTGCACAGGTTTTGATCAAGCCATACCACTTGTTCCTCCTCCGAAGGGGCTATGTGTCCTATGACTGGGTGGTCTTGCTTAGGAGGGTTGCTCTATGTAGGAGCTTTGTGGAAAGAGGAGAGCCTGCAGTAGGCTACAAGTAGGCCATGCACAGGTTTTGAACAAACCAGAGCACTCCTTTTTGATAGGGTTGTGTGTCCAACAGCAGGCAGAGGGGGTTACCCATTCTAGGAGTTTTGTGGACAGACTGGGGGAGAGGTTGTGCAAGGCCTACAGGTATACCTCAAAGCTCTAATCCCATCCCTGTTCTAAGCCTTCGTTCACATATATGCGGTGTGGGAAATGCAGGGATTCCTATGCGGTTCTTGCACCACATTGAAATTGCGCCTGCAGGTGTCAATTTTAATCCAAAGACACCTAAAAAACCGTTCACAAAGCTTAGTGCAATTATCAGGATTGGATCACTTGAGTGTGAAAACCCACATGATCTGATTCTGGTGCGCCAAAAAAAAAAAAGCCTGCACCTTTTTTGTGTGGATGCGGTTCGATTTAAGCCCATACAAAATGAATGGGTTCAAATTGCCCTGCAACAAATCGCATGTGATTTGAACAGGAATGCAGTTCAATTCCTGTCTGGATTACATTCGATTTCCTGCACTGCTCCTGTGTTAACCCAGGCTAAGCCTATTCTATCTACTCTATAAAAGGAAAGAAGTCTATGCTTATCTATTATGAGGGTGCTCCGGTCCGTTCACATGAACTTTCCAGTACCGGCTTCAGTGAAGAGGAGAGATCGCTGACAACTACTGCAGAGCCTGGGTCATGATATCTCCCACAGACTTACTATGGGGCATCTGTTGTTGGTTGTCCCTCCTTTACACTGAAGCCAGCGCTGGGCTTCAATCATGTGACCGGACCAAAGTGCCCTCATATTAGGTAAGTATAGGCATCTTTCCTTTTACAGGGTAGATAGAATAGGCTTATAATAGGCGTGGGAGTAGATTTAAGCTTAGGGTTTGACTTGACTAAGGACTTATTTTTATAATATACAAGTGAAGCTGGAATGCATAGGTAATGTTTTTGGAAAGGTGAACTAACCCTTTAAGAGAGCTATTGGGAAAAACACTTCAAACAAGCTAACAGTTATAGCAGAGATCCAGTAACCTAATGCTGCCTGTTCAAAACTTTTTTTTTTCACATATGTTATCTCTAAATCACAGCCTAGTCCCTTCCGAGGTGTCAATACTACATTTCTTTAAATCAGTATTTGCTTAGGCATGCTCCTGCCTATTGTGGCAGTACTCAGACCTGCTTATTGGTTACTGTGGCATGGAGAAAAGGGGCATGGGTGGCATGCACTAACTGAAAGAGGAGGCATTCTGGGGGAAGGAGGGGGAAGGTACTTTGTTGCAATGACACATAGGTGACCAAAAAGACATGGACTGACAAATCATGCTGTCAGCTACTTTACATTAGCTGTTAGTTTTCTTGTTTCATTTTTTTTGCTTCATTGGGATAGTTGCTGTATCATATGAAGACCCTCATTTGTTTATAATTAAGTGTATGCAGTAAGAAAATAATTTTTGTCTTTTATGAAATGCTTTTTTTTTCAAATGAAGTGTTTTACAAATTACTGTATATACTATTTGTATAACTTTTTTTATTTAGAGTTTGAATACGTAGCAGTTTTTTGCTTTGATTGTGTTGCTTTCGTTGCACTAATAAATGCATTTCACGAATCCAGTAGTAAATTCCACAATTTATCCTGAGCTCTTACTTTTATTAAATCTAATGAAGAACTCTAAGTTACTTCTAACCTGGTGAGACACCTTTCTGCAACAAAAGGCACATGCATGGTATGCTGATGGTGCAGATGTTATGAGGCAGTTGCTTAGCATTGTTAATTTGCAACAGAAAGTGCTGCTACTGGCAGGATCTCCAGATATGAAATTTGGTTAGACAGACTGGACCTGCTTGCACTAGAGTGGGTTGGGAAGCTTTTTCAGGGATTGTGGTCACTTCTAATTTGCAAGACAACACCTACTTGTCATCCAACACCTGACTACACCTAGTCCTACTTTCTGGCTTTACAGCACTGCCTCTGCTGCTGCAACCCTTCTAACAGCTGCAGTGTGTTATGGTTGTCACCCCTGGCAAGTAAAGTGTGTTCCCCCAAGATGCAAAGACTAAATGCCAGCTGGTCTTTACCAGAGGTCCTGATGGAAATGGGCTAGGAGTCCTAGTGGCCCTGAGGCTACTTACTGTTGTGAGCTGACACCAGGTTGTGCCCTTGAGGTTCTCCCCACCAAGGGGATGTGAGAGCAGGGTGGATAAGATGCAGAGATCGGAGCATAGTCAGGATCAAGCAAGGGGTCTTGACTGCTCTCTTGTCACCTTGTCTCCTGACTACTCTACACACTGCTTGCCAAGTTCAAACAGCAAGCGGAGAGTCTGGGTTGGCAATGAAGAAGGTATAATATGAGAGAATGGTCAGCAACAATAGGTAACAGGCTCCAGTATCATAGCTTTTGCTCACAGGTAGATGGCTAGAGGACACCGCACTAGCCACTTCAAAGGCTGGAGGTTAAGTATTTTTTGGTCAGAGGACATACCCAGCATAGTTTCAGGGAATTGTCCTGGCAGTAATTGTGCGAGGTCCTGGTAAGGATTCTCTAAGTGTTGTACACGGTTTCTGGGGATAAGAGGATTTGGCTCAGTCAGAGATGGTAGTCTTTGGTTGTACTTTAAAAAACTGTATAAAGTGAGTCATTATTCTAAACATACTGAAAAATAGACCTTGGGTTTACATAAGTTATGCCCACCCAAAACTCAAGAGTGAGGAAGGGTTAGAACTTGGGTTTATACTGTTACTGAGGGAGATTTTTTCCCCTTATTTACTATCAGGGTGACAATGGTTCTCGAGAGGAAACATCTTCAACAGATAAGAGAAGGCAGAATATATAATGGCATTCATAATCCATATAGATGTTGCTTAGATTCTTGGTTGTCATAGTCTCTGTTATTAGTGGGCTGTTAAAAAAATGCTGCCCTCCTTTGGCAAGTAGTACATTTGTTATGTGGTTTCATTTGGTAATATTAAAGTAGACTTGAATTCAAAAAATAAAGATTTGCTAGATTATCAAAAACTATTTTGTATAAGCAGTGCCTTTTAAGTATGCCTTTTTCTGGTATTCCTCTTGATAAATAGAAGTGCACTTCCTGGTATGCAAGGGTGCTTAGAACATTATAGCTGTATATAATATAGTGTAAGATCACCTGCTGCCTCTCAGTGCTTATCTTTAGAGATGTTATAGCTGTGCTGTTCACTGTTCTTGCTGGAGACTTTGATAAAAGGATGAAAAAAAAATCTTGCCTCTACCAAGATGGCTGCCTCCATATAGACACAGTGCATAACAAGGCATAGTAAGCTTAGTAATGAGGAAAGATCAACTGCAGGGAGACAACAGGAAATATTTGTGGTTAATACTTTGCCCTCTGCCTGTTTTTTGGGAACATAATCCATTGTTAATTTTTTTTGCAGATTACCAGTCCTTGGATGTGAGGGTCCCTAGTGGTGACTGGCTTTCTTCTAGTGCAGAAAAACACCAGTCACTACTGTAGATGGAACAGGCGCTAAAGTGCATCTCCAGACAAACATTAAAATTGG